GTCGGGAGTTGTGTAACCGGCAGCAGGACGGTCTTCTGGCCGTGCTGGGCGGCTGCAAGCTGGCAGAGCTCTCTCCCACCCGCGGGGTGCAGCCTCTCAGAAGAAGGTTTTCCTCAGAAACTACTGCAGAACGTATATACCCACGTAAGAAGACCCATTAGGATGCCTCCTGAAGAGGAGTCTGAAAAGTGTGTCATGAGACAGATGATGCTGAACGTAATCTGGCACACGATGGCAATGCTTTGAGATGGAGGCTATTTTTGCAGCTACCGATTGCAATGCTCAGAGCCATTTTACGTTTAATGAGCACCCTTTCAATGATGCGTTTCTCATCGGTGCTGCTCATCTGGGATGAAGTCACGAAATTCAGCTGAAAGCTTTGTGGACAAACAGAATTACATGTGGTTTCCGTGGGTCTTTTTTGGAGGCGTACAGAAGAATCCAAGGCTATAGCAAGCATCAAAACTACAGAAATGGTGAACAAAAATATATGGCTAGCACTGCTGTTATAGTGAATATGTACTGGATCAGCAATAAAATCGTGTAATCCTGCCTGTCTGCCCCGCTGGCCAAGCCTTGAGGTTATGGGCATGTATCTAAATGTCAACAGTCTATCTGAGAATGAAAGAATGTGAATTCAAAGGAAAAGGCTTTTTTAAAAACTGCTCTGTTATGAAACTGAGGAGGATTTGTTACCTCTGCTGACCATGACTGCAGCAAGACTGAATAAGGACATATTAATTCTTTTACATACCTTAGGCAGGAACTTTTTTACATTCTTGTTTTGTTTTGTTTTGTTTTGTATTTTACGTTCCTTAGGTAGTTCCTTAGTCTATATAGACTGCATCCAGTACTTGGAAACTGGTAGGCAGGCAGCGTAGTTCACAGAAAACCTTTTAGGAAGAGCTCAGCCATGTATGTCGTTCAGTTAGGCACCACGGCCTGTGTTACTTGGTTGTACTAAACATTGCTAAGCTGTACCTCTCTGTTTTGTCACATCTTTTAAAATCATCCTTTCCCATTCAAAGTTCAGATTCTGTCATTCTATTCTGTGTTCATATTTTAGCAGTGCTTTACATGAATTTCAATCATGTTTTTTTTATAGCACCTCTTCGCCAGATGTCATCTGGGAGCGTTCCTGGCTCTTCTGGAGAGAACATGATTTACTATCTCCTTGCTGGTGTTGCTGCTTTTGGTGGTTTATTTTATGTAAGTGTTTGGGAATGGAGCTGTTTGTGCTTTCTGAGTTGGTGTGGTATAAGATGTGTTCTGGGTTAAGGAATATGGTCAACACACAAACTGTCAGCAGAATGGTATGTCATACCATATAATTAAATACAGTCTAACTTAAAAATATGTTCAAGAGAGGTAGTGAAACTGAATGCCTCTGCTTGCCTGTTTTACTGTTAACTTTGATATCTAGTGCTGTTGTCATTCTTAGTGGGGAGCATATTTAAAACTCTGTGAGATGAATGTGTCCAAAGATGGAATAAGGCACTTGCCTCCAACCCCTTGCCTCTTCTTGTCAACAGCAAACATTAAGAACATACCAAAGTGGGCAAGACAGATGTGAAATAAGCTGTCTGAAGCCACAAGTCAAAAATTATGAACCTCATTAATTGGGGCACAGAGAAAGATAAGAATATTAATTACTTTGAAAAAGCGTGTTAGAGTTTTGTAAACATCTACTTTCAAGCTTTTCGGTAATCGTTCTCTTCCCTGCGTTTGAATGTATCAGATTCTGTGCTTCACGCCCCTAAAAGCCTCCATTTCATAGCTTGCTTCCACCACCACCACCCCACCCCAAAGATTTGAGATAGGGTCTAGCACATCCCAGAGAGGTACGTGTTTCCCTCTCCCACACAATAATCCTCTTGAATGGTAAGTAGCTTCTGCTTGTTCAAAATATCAAACTTGAGTGATTGCATATATGGAGGAATAATAAATTCTCTTGCTGTCACCTTTTTACCATAGTTTTTTGTTTTTGTTTTTTTAAATAATCTGACTGTAATTGTTTTTTAAAATACTGTGTTCAATTCCTGAAGCACTGCAGCACTTCAAAAGCTGTATGGTATATGGTATTTGCTTTCTAACAATGGAGAAATATTAAATGTATAAATATGTTAATATAGCAAAATAGATTTTTTTTTTTTAACCTTGCTTAGCATAATTTGATATGCCTTTTACGATAAGCAATAGTACTAAACCCTTCTCTTCCCCTCCCCTCTTTTTCTTTGGTAACTTTGTAGGGATGTAGCAATAAGTTGGGTATAATTTCCTTTCAGGCCTACAGAATAGTCAGTTCATCCCGCAGCAAGTATATTGAACATATGAATATTCTTCATGAGAGAGCTGAAGGGCGGAAAAACAAACCTTGGTCAAGCAAGGGTGAGTTGAGTTCTTCTCTCTTGTTCCCTGGGTACATGAGGGTCTGGAACAGATTTCTACATTGTCTAATCAGGCCTTAACCCTGTCCAAGTTCTTGCCTGAGCTCTGTGACTGGGAGCAAAGACAAAGGAGGTTGTGCTGTGTTCTGCTACAAAGCTACTTCTGCACAAATTTTGGGAATGGACTTAATGTTTAGGCAGTGAATCTGGCCTGCGATCAACCTGCAGGAGTCTCTTTGGATGGACGGAGTTGATGTGTGAATTGTTAATTGTCTATTGGGTATTTGCATTTGATTTACTGGAAGCTTAATCAAACTTGACTAAATGCATAATGCTGTCAAAATCAGTTTTGTTCTTTTGTTTGTTGGGGGAGAAGGAGATAATATCTTTTTCTCAGTCAAGAGTTTGGCTCCAGGCCACGTGCCGTCAGGGAACACAGTTCAATAGAAGAAAAAAATGACGTTTTTTTAAAGATATTGTAAATTGGATCCATTTCTTGTTTCACAACGTTGATTTTTGTCCTTTTAAATTTAGGATTAAATGAAAAGCAGACACTACCTAAATGTGTGGCAAATCCTTACTTAGCTCTTCATGCTTAAATAATTAGACCATGTTAGTTCAAATACTTGTAATGGAATGTTGTCTCTGTCTACATCAATTAGTGTTATGGCACCATTAATATAAAAGATAGAACTTTGGCAAGCATGGCCTTGCTAGGCAAAGCAAGTAGAAAAAATTACTTCTTAGGGATCTTTATACTTTTATTTAGTTGTTATTTTAAAAAAATAAATAAATTAATGAAGTCATAGCACTTGAAGCTGTTCCTTATTTTTTTCTGATGCTGACATCTAGAGAATTGATTTAATATATTTGCATACTCACAAAAAATAGATTTGAATAAAATATGCTGAGTTTAAAGTTTGTTTTCAATGTGAGAACGTGCTTTGAATTGTCTGCCTCCAAAATTATTTCTTTTTAAGTTGTTAGTCTTGAAGTTCCACAACAGATTCTTTAGTTTTAGAACTTTAAAATTACAGATTTTAAGATTTAATATGGCAAACATCTTAATTTCCTTTCTCTTAAGCAGCTGGAAGCAATACAGTTTTTAAACTTAGCTCTTGAAATGTTGAGCATTTGGCCAAAATTTTAATGCAGTCCTTCCTTGTCCTTAAAATAAAAAATCTAACCAGGACCAAAGTAGGTATTTTCTCCTGGTGACCTAGTCACCTGCTGTTGAGGAAAGAAATGAGGGTTACCCTCTTTCCATTCTGACTAGCATAGTCAGAAGAACGCAGTAGATGTGAAAGCATTAAGCAGACCTTCCAAGGCACTCAAAATGATGTCAGGTATACTCCCCTCTTTCCTCTTAAGGTTCACTTCTGCAAGGTACTGGGTTTTAATCCTACTCTACCAAAATGTTTCAGTGGGATACCCGCAGCGTCAGTGTTGAACCACTGAAGGCTATACCTGTGTTGCCAGAGACTGGGGTAAGAGTACTCCATGCTCTGTAATTTACTTAATTCTGACTTTGGGTACTCTACAGATATGCCATAATCTGATGCCTTGCACTGCTTAGTAACTTATATAAATGTCACAACCAATGGCAGATGATTGCTGCCTCCCTTATTATTGCTAGTAAGAAGTCCAAAACATTTCTCAGGCCATGCAGTGAACAGTGCTGACACTTGTTTCCTGTGTTATTTTCAATATTGAACTTCTGAATAAATGCTCAACCTGGAGTTTTTAATGGGACTTCTAATTCCAATTCACAATACAAAACTGCTGTTGAATCAGCTCTTTTCTGAATCCTTTTTCATTCCCAACTGTATCCTCCCAAAAGAGGTTTCTGTTCTTACTTTTCCTGTGGAATCCTCTGTGTGCTTTCTCAAAAGAATTAACGTCTCT